CTCACTCAAAAAGCATTTACAGTTTTAATATTACTTTATCTCACCACTTACGTGACATTAGGCAGTTCTGCCTGTTTGCATGCTTTTGCTTTAACAGTTTTCTTTTGTCATTTTTGTCTAATGTGTAACGTCACAAAAGAGTTTCCTTTCTAGTATTCTTTTCTTTCTTTCTTTCCCAGACTATACTATGTGATCTAGTTCCCATGTGAACCTCATGAAGATGAACAAGGCCAAGTGCAAGGTCCTGCATGTGAACCAAGCACAAATATGGACTGGGCAGAGAAAGGATTGAGAGCAGTCTTGAGGTAAAGACTTGGTTGGCAAGAAGCTCAGCATTACCCAGCAATGTGCACTTTGAGCCCAGAAAGCCAACATGCTGGCCACTGACAAAGAGAGTGGCCAGCCTGTTGAGGGAGGTGATTTCACCCCTCCACTTCACTCTCGTGAGACCCCACTTGGAGTGCTGCATCCAGCTCTTGGGGTTCCCAGCACCAGAAGAACATGGAGCTGTTGAAGCACATCCACAGGAGGGCCATTAAGATGATGAGAGGGCTGGAGCACCTCTTCTCTGAAGACAGGCTGAAACAGTTGGGATTGTTCAACCTGGAGAAGAAAATGTTCCCGGGAGACCTTAGGGCAGCCTTTTAGTACTGAAGAACAGGAGGGGTACATTTTACAAGGCCGTGTAGGGGATGGCTTTAAAAGGCATAAGGATCAATTTAAGTCAGATATTAGGAAGAAATTCTTCTCTCTGAGGATGGTGAGGCATTGGAACAGGTCACCCAGAGAAGCTGTGGATGCCCTGTCTCTGGAAGAGTTCAAGGCCAGCTTGGATGGGGCATTAAGGTCTAGTGGAGGGTGCTCCAGCCCAGGGTGGGGATTTGGATCTAGATGGTCTTTAAGATGCGTTCCAACCCAAACCATTCTATGACTATGATTCTATAACAATTAAAATCCAACTAGGGCAACTTTGCATTTTCGCAAGAAAAATGTTGAGATACTTTTGGATCAAGTTACTGGCAGTAGAAGAGAATGGTTGAAAAAAATCACAGTTTTTAAACGTTCATCTGATGGGAAATCTTTGGGAGGAGGCAGAGGAAATAGTGACACATACAATTCTTCTACAATATCCACCTTAAAAACATTTCTTACATGAAATATTATTTTTATCAGACCATGCATGTTTTATTTTGGTGCCCTTGCATGGTTACATTTCTCCAGTAAGGAATGACTGATACTGGACAGGAAGGAAATGACTTGGCTCTTACAAGGAAAAAAACCCACCACCTAAATGCAGGAAAAGGTTCATAAATACTTCCAGAGACTAGCAATCTGACAGCTTGCTCTTGAAATCCTAAGAGTAAACTTAGAAAAAAAGTTCCTGCCTTCCTTTTGGTGCAGGTTGGAAGGAAAGCTATTTGGATCTCTTTTACTCCTGCCCGTGTCTCTTTTCCCGAGCACGCTCTGAGCACGCTGCCCACGGAACTGCTGACTGCCTGTTCCTCATTAAGGCATGGGGCGCAGAGAAACTCACCAGCAAGGAAACCAGTGAAGCAACATAATCAGCAGCTGAGAACCCCTTCCCGCTAAGTAGCAGGAGGAAACGAAGGAGAAAAACCTCATCCTTTCTCTTTGCAGCTCTACTGGTGTGAACTAATTTAATAGGGATGAGCAGCCACAAAGGCAAACAAGTTAAGTGACATGTGGTAGGTTACAGATATACTAAAAATGAAGCCAAGAATCTTCATTTTCACAGCTTCTAAAGGGAAAGCTCTGAGATCACAGACTTTCTACTGTATTGACAGTCTGTAAAAAAACTCCCTCTAGATCTTAATCAACAGTGTATATAGAGAAACATAGGAAAGGCTTATGTGTGAGAGTGTGATGGGAAAGAAAACCAAATGGAAAAGGCTCTTGTTTACCAGGTCAGAACAGAAATATGATGTAGGCAAGAAAGTCACAAAATGGAGAGGAAAAGAAGGGGCAAATTTGTGCAGTTTTCTAATATCTAATTTTTTCAGCTATAAGTATTGTAGTTAGAAATTATTTACCACTCCCCCCTTGCCTTTCAACTAATAACCCCCTTCTACATAATCCACTTTTCTTAACTGAGAAATTTCACAAGAGAGGAAAAAAAATTAGTTTTATTGGCAAAAGTGGAATATGGTACTCAGAGAACTGAACACTGGTGGTAGAGATCACACAGGGGAATGCAGAAGTGACTAGCTTCTTGTCAGGCTTGTTGGAAGATAATCTTTTTGTGGGTGCATGTCTGAACTTGTATAGGCACACAATACAGAGATGCACCTCTCTGTATGTGTTAGAGGACTTTTCCTAAAGAACCTCCCTATTTTTGATGGGTATTTCCTTGTGACCTTTTAGCAGGAGAGAAAGAAAAAGCCTCTAGACAAGGAGGACACTTGACAAAATTCTGGCTAGAGAAAAGCTTATTACAGATTCTGCACAACTTGGCTGCATCCTGTGTAGACAAATAAAAATGAAGCATCATAGCACAGAAAAAGGAGTCCTATAAAAGGACAGTAGCTCTGCTGTACACCTGCAGACAGGATTCTCAGCAATACCTTGTTGATGGACCCTCAGTGTGCACACAGTAAAATGAAGGGTGATGCACTGAACTGCAAGAAAATATTACATGCTCTAATGTTCTGTGTGTCCGTTCCTCAGCTTCCCAACCTCTCCTAGCAAACTACTGACTGCTGGGATTTTTCTGAACTATTCTGTGAGACCCATCTGAGCATCTACCTGGGTTTCTCTTGGAGACACTGCCGGTCAGCCACATACTCTTGACCTCATACAGATTCACTCTCTTAGGTCCTGTAACATGCAAGCTTCTCCAGCTCTCATTTCAGGATCATGCTCATTTCAGGTGGACTGAAATGGGTATTTCAAGCTCTTTCACTTCCCAAAAATAAACTGGGAACCCTGTGTGTATATTTGGAGCTGGGATACATGTGTGGGCAGTAATGAAACTACATTTCTAAAAATCTGACCCCCAGGGTTCAGTACAATTCAGATTAACTGAAGTTGGATTGTGGAATGTTAGTGGATAATGTGCCAGAAAAGTCTTTGCACTGAGTGTGTCATTAATAGATTATATACATGAGAGACATGAGTTTTAAGCTTCAGGTCAAAAAGTTGCCTTTACATTTTTCTTGGAACTCCCCAACTATTTTATCCATGGTGCAAGTGATAACACTTTATTTCATAATAAATATTCTAAAGGCATTCCTAATACTGACAAATGTGAATTACATTTCTGTACATTCACAGTTATAGGTTCACTATGACCCTAAATCTGTAGAGAAACGGTATGTTTATAAACTTGTAAAATCTCTGTAGAACAGTAGATAATGTAGTCAATGAAGAGTAAACCACTGAAGTTTCACGTTAGATTAAAAAATGTGCAAGCTCTAAAAAAAAAAAAAAATAAAAATTAACCTTTGGATCTGCAAAAATTCTTGGAATTCTTCCAATATAACATCCTTCTTAAGACTATTTGGGCTTCCTGCCTTTGGTAGACTGGGAACATGATCAAAATGATCACTTGTCATTTCATTGGTAGGACTGGAAGGTATGGCAAATAATAATCCAATCCATTCTCTCCATCAAAATCAAGAGCACTAATTTATATCATATTCTTCCACTTCTGTGGAAATCTGTGGCATGCATTTTCTTGGCCTTAGTCTGGTTAACCTCTTCAAGAGCAATGTAGGAAAATTATAGATAAACCTACAGATAAATGTAGTAAAAATTTAGATAAAGCTGGGAGAGAAAATTAAGTTGGAAATTAAGTTAATTACTAGATCACTGGTATAGGAAAGTGTGGATATTCCGATATGCTGCATGCAAGAAAATAATATCTGCTTTATATGGGACCATTATGCAGCCACACATCTGGAGGGAAAATAAAGCAGATTGAATAAGCTTATGTTAATTCTAGTAATTATGAAACATTATCTGAAGATCTGGAAATTTAGATACTTTGTAATTAAAATAAACTATGAGCTAACATGTCAGAAAGTTACTGGTTCCAAGAAAATTCCATACAAAGACTTGCATGTGAAATAAACTTGATGTATACCAGCTGTCTTTCACTGTTAGCAATGTCCTTATTTTAAGTCCAAATTTACCTCTGCCACACATATACCTGCTATTAAATCACATGCATTTGCAAATTGTTTAACCAGAAATACTTTATGTAAATGAGGTGACAGAAAATAATATCGCTGAGGGGAAAAAATGAATCTCAGAGCATTTCAAACTCCCTGCCCTGTGTTCTGTCATGTGGCTTTATATTTTTATTTGTTAAGCTGAGATGTATGATTTGATACTGAGTCTATTGCCATAATTCCCACATCACGAGGTCACCACACAACTTGCTCAGAGCTCCACCTAAAAGTCAGCCAGACCTTGAAAGCACAGAACTACCACAGATACTTTGGAATTGCTTTGGCAGAGTCACATAAGACAGCTTGCAAAATGCTTTTTCTTTACCATGACCAGCTGCATACACTGAGATTAGGTTCATGTTTTCATAATCATCATGTTCACATAAACAAGGGAAAATTCCAAACCATTATTTTTGCTTAATGTATATCTTTCCCTACAGGAAAACTGCATTTTATCTTGATATAACTGAAGTCTATTAAATATTCCTTTTCATAAAAGCAAGACAGCATACATTTTTTCACAGGATATTATTCAATAACCACAAAACATAGAATTCCTGGATGTCTTAAAAAATAGAAAGCTAATAGTAGCAAACCTCGGATTGAAAAGCTATCTGTGTAATCATTCACTGGGTTATTAAAATGTGAAGGGTCCTTGGGTTACTCTCGAGCCTTTAAAGTTTGGCAGAATAGAACCTCCAGATTTACTACAGCTTAATTATTGACCTGACATAATACTTAAACTATGTAGCACAAGCTGATGGCTTATTTGGCTAAATTAATTGCTGAATACACATATTATTTTTGTACCTTTGAAAATTTCCTGAAGTTAATGTGCCTTGGTTAATTTTCATAGCATTGGATAGAAGTCCATATGTCTTGCTCAGTGAGTTTATTATGGGCAAAACCTGCGAAAAGGGGAGAACACATTAATACTTATAAACAACTAGGAATCACACAGTTGCAACACAAGCTCTGTTCATACTGGGGTTAGAATTTCTTGCAAAATTTAGTTTATGAATTCCTATTTACTTTGCTGAATCACTCTATGGAATCAAGTTTATGACACATAATTTACTTGCTTGCAAGTTAGCATGTTGCTATAGTCAAAATAATTGAAACTTAGAGCCTTAATATACCCAGATTCTAATGAATGGTTCAAATATCTAGATGTTCATCACTAAAATTTGTAACTTGTCAGGATATTTTCTGAGAATATTTGTAATATTTTAATTGAAATTTCTGGTTTGGAGATAGTTGTCTTAGCTTTCATAATTGTTCATTTTTCCTTTGCTAAAATGAAATAATACTGAAATCATATATAAATTAGCCACAAATTATTCCATTTTGTCTTTAGGCATCCGAAAGGTAGCTACCAGTATGTGCGTTATTAATCTGAATGCCTTGCTCTTCTTCTTCCTTTGATAAAAAGCAACTGGTAAATATCCACTTTCTCAGCTACTATAAAGATTCCAGATCTCATAGGTGACTTCAGCCAGAAGGTTTCCCTGACAGAAAAAAAAGACCTTTGCTTCATTTATTTTCATGAACACAGTAAATATTTTGTTGATGTGAGCAATAGTTTCAGCCTCAACTAGGCACAAGCACCTGACAGAAGAGACACCACCTTCCCCCACCATCCTGGCAGCGATTCTCCCCTGCCTGTGTCAGCACAAACGCTCCTGGGGCTGAGCGGAGCCAGGTGAGAGAACCAATCTCTCCAAGTACTAACCATGCCAGCCAAAATTATTAGAGAAAACCAGCAAACACAATTATTTTTCAGGTGGGTTATTCCTTTCACTTGGCTCCCTGTGTTGTCACACCAGTTCCAGTGCTCTCACAAAAAAGGAGAAGAACCAGGGGTCATCACACCAGAAGTCGGCATGTGCAGCTTGAAGCCCTCACCTTGAACACGTGGGCACTGAAACCACCAGGCAGTGCTTTCCTGCCTAAAAATCAGCTGTCAGTTTAGAGGGCATCTCTCTAGACTTTCTCTTCCTCTGTGGTGAAGTCTCTTTGTCTGTCAGTCTGTCTGCTCCCCTTCTCCGGGATCTGCCTCCATCTGGTGCACCATCCTTCTGGGGAGAATAGCCAGCCCCCGGCTGCCCGGTGCTTGCACACTCTTGAGCAGCTCAGAGGGCTGACTTTGGTTTTGGAACACTCATCCTTCACTGTCTCGTACAGCTGTTCGTAAGGGCAGTGGCAGAGAAGTCTATCTCTTTTGAGGCTGGTGAGTGCACTTAGATTCTTCATTTGAGAACTTCTGAAAGGTCAAACTGAACCTTATTAGGAAAGCCCTGGTGACTTGCACAGACACCATCAATGCAAACAATGAACACAGATGGGGAGCATTATTTCAGTCACAGCTGGGTACCTGGGACCAAAAAAAAAAAAATTCCCAGGATAACTGGGGCATTTATAGCTCCCAGGGAATGGAGTGGGAGGAAAAAAAGAAAGAATGAACTCTCCCTTCAATAAACCCAAACTGGAGATAGTATAAATCAAAACTGAGGAGCCTGAAATACATACAGGCCTAATGTGCTGCTACAAAATGAAATGTAACCTTTCCTTCTCTAATGCAGAACAGGTTAATACAGTGGCATAAACAGTAGACTCATTGTCTCAGTTAATTGGAAAGGATTGTGAATTTTAAATCATCAGTTTTTAGGCAGCCAAGACTGTGAAGGTCTGAATAAGTTTAAATCAAAAGCTGCCAGTATTTGGGAACTTAACAAATTACCTCATAGTTATTAGTATGCCATAAATAAGTACCTGCAGTATTATGGCCCTCTAAATCTTATCTTTTTCTTATGCAAGAAAGAAATATTATCATTATTTTTCCACTCTCAGTTCAGTCCTTTTTTTTTCTGTAATAAATAAACCAATAGAAATTATAGCAATTTCTAAGCAATAAACTTAATAATATTTTGAAAGGAAAAAATCTCAAAGAAATCACTATACCTATCACTTCTAGGAGTAAACCCCAGCACAGTAAGAAAAACACTGCATACATGAATGTTTTTTTGAGCTGTCCCATAAACTTCACTGGGACCATGGTCTCAAATTTCAGCAGGGAGCAGTTACAGCAAAATACATTGGTATTGCAATTTTCTCCATTTATAAACAATTATTTTTCTTATTTAATTATTTTCTTGAGAAGATTATGCAGGCAGTATACATTATCTACACAGGGCAATAGATCTCTAAAGCTGCTTCTGCAGGTGCAAAGCAGAAATCCAGCAAGACTTATTTAGATTCCAATCAGTAATTTCAGTTAAGCCTGCTTCCTAATAAATCAAAATTCAAACCAATGTGCTGTTAGGTTTTCAATTTTTGGTTTTTAATTTTTTCAAAACCTAGTGGTTTTGAAAACCAGTAGGTCTTCTGCAATTTCATCTTTAAAATTTAAGCTCATATTCTGTGCTGAACACTCTTAGTTGTTTAAAAAATACACAGGCATGAAATAACTATGGAAGTGAAAATTAATGTTATTCTTGTATTACATAATATGTGGCTTTGGATCTCTTTATTTGAAAGATCAGTTTGTACAGCTTTTAATAATGTATTATTTTTGGTTTTCGGCTTCCAGTTTTTTAGCAGGGTAGTAATTGCTACAATAATCAGGCTGAAGTGTTTCTTTGACATTGTCACTAGCTACTATTGAACCTTTTTGCTCACCATTAATGTCATATAAAGTTATGGACAACTGATGAAGCCTTGTCTTTCTCTCTGGATACCCTCAGCACCTTTCAGCATGTATATTGCTTGGGCCAAGAGGTTAGGGATTAAAGAAAGGCACTCTCACTGTCAATGACCCTCAACACAACTTGTCTGTCCCAATGGCCACACAAGCCCTCCTTTGACCACATCAGAGGAGCCAGCAATGCTCTGCCAACCTTCTGAGTGCCATAACTCTTGGTGACCAGCTCTAGGGATGGGTGAGTGCACCAGGGCCCTTCCCACAGGTTGAATGAACAGGAGAGTTAGAGCATTTTTTTTTTTTTCCCACAGCAAAATCTGTGTTATAATGAAAGGCCAAGACCTCAGAAAAGACATACATGTCTTCCCCATTTAGTCTGTTAGCTAGACCAAGCCTCATGATGTGAGGAAATATCAGCCATCAGCTACAGTATAAGAAAATGTGAAGGAAGGATAGGTATGCAAATACTTCAAGATGATTAAGCACATTATTCCTCCAGTTTTAAAACATTAATGAGGTCTCACTCTGTTTTGTAACTGTTGCTTGTTGTAGCTACATGGAGAGGTGGGCTGTGATGCCTAAGGCCAGATATTTAGCCTTAGTAATGTGAGTGCAAATCCCACAGAAAGGGTGACTGCATAGAAGTACCAAAGGATGAATTTTGGCCCTTAAATTGCTATTAAAAGGAGTATTTTTCTCCCCTATTATTGTTGTTGTTATGGGAAACAAATTGGGCAAAGAATTTTTTGGAAGAAAAGGGCTTTCTAATGGCCAAGAATGTAATAGCAAAGAAAATAAAACAAATTATTAAGATGAAACTAAGCTAATGAAGAAAACAATGGTTAGAACAGCAAATTAAACAGAGGGAAGATGCTTAAAAAAACATCTTTACATCATTCGTGTTCACAGTCAGTAAGCTGACTGCACGTGGACAAGAAAATTTCTTTTTTTTCATTTGTAAAAATATCTCCCTCTGTCACTGAGAGAGATAGATGAATTTTTTATATACATTTTTTTTTCTCACTACGTACTGTAGATGTTAATTTCAAGGACATGATAAGACAAAATCAAGAATCACCTAATTGCACCATCTGGGGTGAAACAATGATTTTAGGAATCTTTTTATCTATACGTACAAAAGACTAATATTAGATGATGAAACAGAGTAATGATGAAATAAGCCCTTGAATGACATATAGTAGAAGAGTCAAATAGCACTGGAATCAACAGGAATCTTTCCATTTACCTAAGTACTAACAAGTCCATACAGAGCAGAAAAATGCATATGGGGATGGTAACTACCATTGTCAAAGTTTCCAGATCCCTGTTTTCCACATTCATGAGCACATGAAAATACAATGCTTTCCTGTAGATGTACAAAAGAGTCCATTATGACTTAACTTTTGAAAGGAGGTTATACCATAATTTTATTCTATGGAAAAAGGATTCATTTTTTGCTTGAAATACTGCTGTGTTTAAAGAAATTGCATTTGAATTTTAATTTTTCTTTTCCTGCTTTTATTCCTCAGGTTTCTGTGCACCATTTACTACCAAAATTCTTAACACAAATTCTTAATACAGCTAGGAACCTTGTCACAACACATTTCCAAACTGCGGTACAGATGGAAACTTAACATGATGAGAAAGGCTTACAGCACACTGTAATACATAAAATTATTATTTATTGTTTCTGCCTTTGAACAGCAGGAGTTTAGATACTGCCAGATGGCATATTGTTTGGGAATTTGGGGGAATGTAAGTGCCTGTGTGGCACTGAGAGAAATCCTCCCTGTGTAACACAGATAACCCATAAAACATAGGAGAGGTTTCTGTGTGCAGGACTTTTTCCGTACCTGGGACATATTTCCAAATCATTCCAGAAATACATGGTAATACATGGTTGTAACCATCTCCTGGGGCTGCAATCTTAATTTCACAAAAGAAGCACTGTCACAAAGCCTCCAAGGAAGATCTGAGGGACTGCAGGGAGTGTTGTGTGTGATTCACTTCATCTCAGACAGACCTAAATTTACACACCCAGTTTCATGCCAGAAGGGAGGTCTTTCAGAAAACAGGAAAATACCAGACCTACCAAACACCTTCCTACAGACTCAGCCCAAGACATGTTCATTTCTCCTCAGACCTATGATATACAAAGAATGACCTCATGCAGCAGTTTCCCTTTTCACTCACAAACAACTTTATTTC